TACTATATCTGTGGCTCTCCTTGTTTGACGTTGTCTTGTTCGCTCAGTGGAATCACTCCAAGAAAGCCATGGCTTTCCAAGCGGTTCAAGTTTGCATGCTGCCAGGAACTCACTCAGCTTTTCGCGCGGCTCATGTAAGATCACAGGTGTGGGCTCGTCACTCTGAGTGGAAGCTGTGCTTATTGTGTCTGGTGACAGAAAGGTGTCATCAGCGATTGTTAGACGTCCAAGGCTTTCTGCGAACTCTTCAACAGATTGACCGGTATCACTTTGTCCTGGAGATGAGTTTGAGCTGTTCTGTAACATACAAAAAAGACGTTTAGACATCAATGTTACTTCAATATTTCTGTTTATTTTGTCACTAGGCATTAGTTTTTTTATTATAGTTCGAAACTTAAGTTGTACATCATTTTAAAAAAAGAAAATATGAATTTACATGCATATCGCTATCATTATCAATACTCCCGCTCCAGCCAGACCGAAAAGAATTTAAAGAAACGAACAGTGACCTATTCGTCTTAAAATCATTTTCAGAGTCATTTTCAAAGTTTACAGTTATTCACAGTTACCCAGCCCTTTCGGAATTTTGGCATTTGTTATGTTGGAATAACTGTCTGTATCCAAGGTTACCGTTTACTTACTTACATTTGCTTCTGAAGTCTCTAGTTCTACGCATGGAGTAACTTCAATCATTGGTGCGGGTGTCACTTTCTATTGTTGGTTTGTCTCCGCGAAATGTTGCTTGCACATTCTGCAAAGAGCTGTAGCAAAAATAAATGTTAACCTTGTTAAAAGGCCATCGCTGATTTCTTTACTATTCTTCAAAGCCATTTTCTTCTTTGGGGGGAGGGGAACAGGAGAATAAAGGGTATTGTAACGCTTGCGCATATGTTGCTTTACGCCCTCGCTCGTTTAAAATTAAAGCGTATACTTTAGCTACAAATGTGTTACGATAAACTTACGCGATCCAACTTGAATAAGTATTCCTTCAGTGTTTAAAATAAATGCAGATAGAACGCTGTCCAAATGCCGATCGCCTTTGACCGAGGCTGTTTTGTGAGCAGCTATTTCTAGTGGAATGCTACACTTCACTTTTGAGGATCTCCAGCGCATACCAAATTCCGCTCTGTGGCGAGGGCATATTGTCAATGACAAGTGGGACTCTTCCACTGCAAATACCCCTAAACAAAGGTAAAGGGAAAATTATCCATTGCATACACCACGAGCGAGTTGAGAGGCTCGTGTGCTAGGAGATCTCGAGGTCCCCTTTTTCATAAAAAAGTCTTTAAAGTCTGTGTATCAGTGACAGGTGTGTGTGCGTGGGTGGCGGAGCGGGAGGGGGGGTGGGGGTGGTGAATAAAGATCTTTTTTGCTATCATAAGCGTTAATATTAGGTTTGCAAAATATTAACGCTGCGAATAAAAGCCTGCGATTTTTAAAGAGATGAACTCGTTTGCTTATCGTTCTTGCAAGCAGGATACAAAGGAGCGGTACGACCGACCGAAATAACCTGACCGGTCAAAGTGGACCAGCTTCAAAGGCGTTCCCAAATATTCTGGTAGGACCGAACCGAAATGGTCCATTCCATTTGATTTCTAACCGAAACTTGCGGAATTTTGGGCTGAATGGAAAGCACCCGAAGATTTTCTTAAAATAACATGACCATCGTGAGGTCTGTGATAAAGAGATGATGGAAATGTACACCACTATTAGCCGCTACGTAAGACGGTAAGACAGTACATAAGATTTACCTGCTCTTGCTAACAGCAGTTTCCATTCAGTGTCAAGTGCTGTATCTGCTTTTAATCCATACAGCTCGCAGTGCCTCGAAATGTCCCTTGTACAATTTCTTAAAGCGAGAACTTCAACTTGGCCTGGATAATCGCTGCTTAAACCACAGGGTGTGGCGTCGTGTAATAAACCAGAAAAACTACATGAGTGAAACGTTGCCGAAGCCATGACAAAAAACAAAGCTCTCCCAACAAACGAGACAAACTCCACTAACGCTGTTTCGGTATTTGTAATACTAGACGGGAATAATTCAATTAAAAATAATATCGTAGAGGCACGTGCAATAGTAAGTGGCGAAACAGTTCGTGACAATATATAAATTTTATTCCAGGAGCATTTGACCTGGAAATGTTTTATTAATATTGTTCCTAGAGTCGAATATTTCTACACTGATGATCTATAAACAGACGTACGGTTGTACATTTTTTTCATTGGGACAGCTGTAATTGCTTCTTTGTCTGTTTACATTGTGTACGAAGTATAGCACGTACCGTCATATGCGACAAGCTAGCGTGACCAATCTCTGCACGTTTGCTAAAGTACACGTCATATGATCTTGTTATCCTGTCTAGTATCTGATTTGTTCGCTCAATAAGAATAATACTCACCTTGTTAACTGTGTGGTTTGATCAGTGGTTAATTTTCATCATTGTATGTTATTTTCGGACCAAAACATAATCGGGTTTCATTATTATTAGAGCGTCTGATAATGCGTAATAAGCGCTGCTTGGGAAGTGTTTAGATAGCTCAAGCGCTGAAGTTGCTGGACACATTTTGGTCAAAATCAGGTATGGATGAGTTGCCACTTCACAGGACAAATAGATTGAGAGATGGATTTAACTTCTATCTCAACAAGCAATGGTAAGTTGTTCGTTCAACAAAACTTTGCGTTAAAAATATGAATTCATTCAGCGGGCCGTCTAATTTGCATAAATTTTATTTACTCAGATACTCAAATTGCTTACTCTGGTGTGAGGACTATATTGGATTTCCAGAGCTAAAACTTTCCAGTAATTTAGTTCAATAGCCAAGGTTTTATTCTATATGGGTTTTACTAGGAAGCGGCATATACCAGTGGCCTTTTACAACAGTTAAAGTTCGCCTTCATTTATTAACATTTCCAGGGATACAAATTTGACCTTTTTAAACTTGTCGATTGTAAATGTTAAAAACTTCTAAAGAGTAAGTACGAAATAATACTCGGCTGAAGTTTCGATGTTAGGGATTGTTTCTTATGCGTTCACCGTTTTCTCGAAGTTGCGGGCGGATTTTGTTCTTTTGAGTACGAAAAACCAGCAAAAAATCGATTTTTCAAACTTTTTGTAATTTCTCCCGTACAATGAATCGCTTGAACCCAAAATTATTTTTTCTTCAATAAGGTTACTAAAAGGGATGTTTTGGCGAGAGGAAAAAAAATTCGTTTTTTTCACGAGTGTCATGCGATTTTCGATTTTCTCGGAAAATGGCTCTTAATACTTTTCACGTTTTGAATAAAATGTACTTCAGTTTTCTAAGGAATAAATTTTCGGAAACAAAAGTTAATCAGTTTTTCGACTAATCAAAGTGCTCTGTGAGCAAACTCGTGAATTGACACATGATTTTTTAGATTATGTTTAATGTTATCTGGTTTAGGGAATTTTGTGGTTGATTGTCATATCTAGAGTACGAGCAGTAGTTCAGTGTTCGCTAATGTAGCAAAGAAACAAAGTAACGTTTGGATAAGAAGGCATTACAATTGAAATGATCATGCTATTACATTTGACAAGGTGGATGATGTCATGTGTTTTAAACGTCTATCATTTTTGTTTCTGGTTCAAAAGAAAAGGTTGGAAGTAAATGTGGGTGAAAAGTGAAATTTACTGTCTTTCGTTGTAAATATTAGAAAATCAAGGCAATACTGTCTTAATGAAAACATTAACGATTCCCTCTTTATCAAATGAGACAAACGGGAACGAGTTTTGAGTGATATAACTAAGCCAAGCCTGCCACCGTCATTTTGGATCTCCGCCTGGGTAGATTTAGGTCACGTGCTAGGCAACGTATGATCAATAACAAGATAGAATTTCATTTCAGGCCTATTTATCAATTTTGTGGTGTGTAACTTTCGCATTTTAGTACGTTGTATGCATGTTGAATCTTCAAATTGTCTTGAAACTTAAAAGAAAATTGTTCTTTAAAAATTCACTGAAAATCGGTAGCTAAAATTGTTTGTTTAGGTGTTATCTGATTTTCGTGTTAACTTGTTATTTCGTCAGTCGCCGGCATCTTTTGTTGCTTCACACAGGAAAAACACACGCGACGAAACGTAATGATCAATTTTGTCCTCAATCTCACGCTATAACAGAAAAAGCTTTTGAACATCTGTAAACTCCGAGCGCTTCGCAGTAAGTGATATTTTCAATGAATCTTCGGATTGTTTTCAAGTTCAAGGATTGTAAATTACAATTTTATGAAAAACGAAGGTTGTTCTGTTATTTCAGTATGAATCCTTGCATGCCTGCCAGTCGCTGGCGCCGCTTGTTGAAACTAAAACGAAAAAAAAAACTCTTTTAAGATTATCATTGGCTTCTTTTTCACCCCACCACTATTCTTAGCAACAAAGGTCGCCATTTCGTCTGTTTATTGCTCGCCAAAAACTATAAAATGCACTCAAAAGCCTAAAATCTAAAAAAAGTTTACAGGAATCGACCAATCGAGCGAGCGAGCGAGCGAGCGAATGCCATTCCCCACATCGTATCTATAACTCGCTCTTGCGCATGCGCGCAATTCACGAGTTAAAAAGCAAGTCTTAAACAGATTTGGAAGACGTCTTTTTCAAAGAAGGCCTTGACCTTGGCGGTTACTAAATACAACATGAGACCTGAACACCAAGTTTCAGCAGTTTTGTCAAATGTGTTTACCTCGCAAAGCTGTTTCACAGAAAAATCACGACTGACGGAAAGCTGACAGGATATTAATTCACAGAAAATACCGTGTGACATCTGAATACCACAAGTACAGCCTTGAGTTGCCAAATATAATAAGATCATGGCTGTGTTATGTCATATCTAATCAACATGTGGTTAGTGAGGAGACACAAAAGCAAACGACAAAAATAAAGGCCGCCATCGTAAGCGCATGTGTAACTCAGGGACAATGCCGTGACTCATGATGTTTAAGGAGGCAATACAAATGACGTGCAAACTGGGCATCAAAGTATCATTGCTGTCTTCGATCATTTTAAAACGTTTATTAAAACTATTAGGCTTACAAATGTAACACTCAGATCTACAAATCTACGTTTTCGTGCGCGAGTAATACTGACTTTCCATCTTGTCAGACAAAACTATGATCATGCGGTGCCAAGAACACGTCAGCATCTCTGCTTGGTCTGCGGTCTACTTCATTAGTGCCAAGCCCAGCACAGAAGAGACGATCAACAGGAAGAAGCTGAAGGTCACAGGCGAGCCTGCGTTACAGCCATCGCTAGTACAGCAACCAACCCCGCACTGGTAGTCCTTGATAGTATCTTTAAGCTTGTCACAAAGATTTTCAGCTGTGTCACAGATATCTTTGGTGGCGCAGTTGTTCGCCACAGCGCTCGCGTCATCTTTCTTGGACCAACTCCTGGCGCACCTGTCAAAGAGGGAAGAGCATTCCTGCAAATAGGTGCCTTTGTTACTTTCCAGTTTGCTCTTGCTGCAGGTATCTTCATTGCCAGAACACACATAGCATTTCAAAGCACAACCTGATGACAGAAAGCAAGATAACAGTTTTTAATGACTCTTAATATTCTATTAAAGAACTTCGAGACAGGAAGGAACGTCATAACTTCTTTAATTCCACCTGCGTTCGCAAATACTGCTATTTGATTGGCCAGTAACAGTAGTTACGTAATCCGTCATAGTGGATAACGAGATTTACACGTGGCGTGACCTTCAACAAAAATAGACAGTCAAGGACTACATGTGGCTATTGGTGTAGCACAAATTTTTTTTCTAACATTGAAAAGCACTCAAGGTTATATAGTGATGCTAGAATGAAGTATTGCAGAATATTTGTCTATTGAGATATTTCTGCAATGAAAATTTTTTCAGATCGTAATAATTCGCTGATTTAAAATGTAAATTGCTCTCCCTTCAAAAAAAAAAATTTTTCCAGTTAGTTTCAAAAATGCGCCGATCACACCTATAAAGAAAAGGGCTAAGTCACACTAGAGGGAATTAAATGTATGAGTGCGAATGTCGAACTACTAAGATATTCCGAAACAAACAATTCGCGGCACTGATCCGATCAAGATTGAGTCAACATCTATTGTTACACTCAATCACTCATCTCGACGACACGCGTGGTTTACGACTGGCAGTCGCCACAAAAACGTGAGGGTTTCTCATTGCTAAATCTTGAAGGGTAGATTATACGTACTCTGTTTTCATCTGTGATTTAGACCATGCGAGCTCTAACCTCATCAACCATCAAGATAGAAATGTCGAGCTCATAATCCCATTGTTCGATAGACAGAGGCAGGGAAACCAAGAACAAAACCCCAACTGAAAAGTCTCTCTGCCTAGTTCGTTGGCTAAAGTAAACGTCTTTGAAATATTGAAAAATGTTCAGAAACGTCCATAATCGGTTTAAGATAGCAGCAAAGTTCAGAATGTTGAGAATGTAGGACTTAATTAGCCCGTGTGCATATGGGATTTAATCCCTAACTTATATCACCTTACTTTCCTTCTTGCTTAAGGCGGAGAACAAACACCAGAACAAATACCAAAGAACGGAACAGTACCACAACAGCTACACTGCATTCCAATAACTTGGAATAAACAAAAGAAATGAAAAGAAGTAAAGACAAAGAAGACATACAAATCAGTCAGTTGACCTGTTGACAAGTTGATTCTTTGCTGTCACCAGAAAAGAACATGATACAGTTCTCAGGCAGGAGAGCCAAGAACAAAACCCTGACTGAAATTTGTCTCTCTGCCTAGTTTGTTGGCAAAGGTGAACCTCTTTGTAATCTTACAAATGTTCAGAATGTCCATAATCGATTTAACTGAGATAACAGCAAAGTTTAGATTGTTGAGAATGTAGGGCTTAACTAATGTGTGGAACAAAAGAAAAAGAAAGAAATGAAAAAAGGTGACAAACAAATCATTCAGTTGAGCTCTTGACCCGTCAACTCTCTGCTGTAATCATCACCAGAAAAGAACATGAAAAAAGGTGACAAACAAATCATTCAGTTGAGCTCTTGACCCGTCAACTCTCTGCTGTAATCATCACCAGAAAAGAACATCAGTCGCTTGTGCCCTTTCTTAACTATCTAACCAAAGTAAGCACATGATACAGTTTAACCCCGATAACGCTAACCCTCGAAAACTCGAATTCCCGCTAACTCAAAGCAAAACTGATTTCCCTTGGATTTACCTCCTATATTTACTGTAATTTAACCCCTATGACTCGAAACCTCGAAAAATTGACAAATTGACCTTTGTCGGTATCACACGTTTGGTCTGTCCGTAGACAAACAGTTTTGACAGTTCTTCCCATCGAACGGAAATAGAGGCGCCTAATTTGGGATCGATCTGTTGTTTGTCATTACTTGTCAATCTTGCACAGTTCGTTCTTGAGAATAACAACATTTTCCTCTTCCCCTCAAAATTCAATGAGCAAAACTGATTTCCATTTACTGTAATTTTAACCAGTATAACTCGAAACCCCGATAACCCCGAGTAATTTCAACTTTCCTTGACAATTCGAGTTACCGGGGTTCAGCTGTACATCATGCAATCCTATCCGACCAATTGATGAACAGTCATGAAGGATTTTTGCTTCGACAAAGGGCATATTTTTGCCCTCTACTCAATAGAAATTCAATAAATTCAATAAACATTTGTTCCCTTGCCTGACTGACGGATGTTAAGCTAGATTACCGTTTGAGGTTTCCAAGGGCCTACCCCCGATCCCCTTAAAAAAAAAGGGGGTTGCTGTCTGAATATCTATGAATGGGACATCGTGGAGCTCTAAATATCGTAACACGGCAAAAAAGTGCAAAAAACCGCATCATAGCTCCTTACATCAACAAACTCTGCCACCAAGTTGTGTTTAATTTAGTTATAACTAGGACGACAATATTTAACGGTTGTGGCGCAAGGCTGTACTGAAAAAGATACCGCAAGAAAGCAAATAGATTTATCACGCAGATCAAGGGATCCTCCCTACATAAACAACGGACACCGCAGTATTTGGGATTACCACGATAGACATTGAGCAACACTACAAAAACACAAATTTACAAGTCCCTATAATCTAGCCCAGTTTCTAATGTATGTAGTTGTTCTCCAAATAGCTCTTTCTACGTGCGCCGTCGCAAGAATAACATTTCTTGGCTTCATGCCCAACAGCAGGGCATGGTCTTTCGTTGACTAAAACCAGCAGTAAAAAATAAGCACTAAAAGCTTCTTTCAAACTTCAAAAGCCTGCGTAATCTAAACCATTATTTCCCTGCTTTGTATAGCGCTTCTTTCACTAAGGTTCAGTCGCCCTGTCCGCCATAGCTTGCTTTTTGCGATTACAAATACTCAGCGAAGGATATGCTTGACAAAGCGGTCGGACTAAATAACTTTCGAGAGAAAATCAATTGGAGCCTAAATCAAGGCCCATCCCTTATACGGAAATCATTCGCAAAGAAAAAGAACTGGAAAATCTGACCAATATTCAGCGAGATATTTCTTCCACAAGTTCAAAAAGGGATAATACATTCTTTCACAAGCACAACAGTTTCGCATCAACAACGATGATTTTGCGGTTTAGCAAGAGAAAACCCTGGCGTAGTAAAGAAATTAGCCACTTGAAATTTTAAAAGTTAATTTCGCAGCTTTTTGTATTTGATTTGTTCCAGTGTTTCCAATAAACTGCTTTGTCAAGCGATGACTGTCACAAATACTTCAAACCTTACTGAAGGACAGTTCTACTATACATTCTGTTGTAAAGTTGTACAGTACTCACCAGGTGCAGTTATGAGCACAAGAACAGCCAGAGTGAACAGCAAACGATTCATTTTTACGGCTTCTTACTTGTGCCGGAGTTAAACTTTCCGTGATATCTCGATGAGGTACTGCCACGCCAAATTTATGCAAAGTATAGTAATATTAGAAGGTGTTCCCAGAAGGCATTGCGCCGCTTGCCCCGCCTATTACGTAACACACTACTCATGTTTCAATTACAAGCTGCCGTGAGCCTCCGTAAATATGCAAGTAAGTCTTGTTGCTTAACAGGCGAAATATGACAATCTGAACTTGGTTTGAATAAAAGCAAACTCCCCCCCTCGCCTCTGGATTTCAGTGTTCCTTTTGACGCTCTCGGAGATAAGTGACTTTTCGGCAGACTACTGTTTAGACAACAATTAAATTTCGATGCGCCGAGATCCACATTTGCTCACCATGTTGCCGTCTGACTTTCTATGAATCAGACACTGTAGATCGAAACACGGCAAAAAAAGTGCAAAAAATAACGCATCATAGCTCCTTGCATCAACAAACTCTGCCTCCAAGTTGTGTTTAATTTAGTTATGACCAGGACGACAAAATTCAACGGTTGTTGCGCAAGGGTGAAACCGAACAAGATACCTCAACAACGCAAATAGATTTGTTTCGCCGATCACGGGATCCTCCCAACATAAACAACGCACGTGGCAGTATTTGGGATCTCCACAATGGACATCGAGCAACACTGCAGAAACACAAATTCACAAGTCCCTTTATTCGAGCCCAGTTTCTAATGCATGTAGTTGTCCTCCGAATCGCCCTTTCTACGTGTGCCGTCGCAAGAATAACATTTCTTGGCTTCATGCCCGACAGCAGGGCATGGTCTTTCGTTGACTAAAACCTAGCAGTCAAAAATAAGCACTAAAAGCTTTTCTCTAACTTTCAAGAACTGCCTGTCCGCCAGTCGCCCTGTCCGCCATAGCTTGCTTTTTGCGATTACAAATACTCAGCCAAGGATATGCTTGACAAAGCGGTCGGACTAAATAACTTTCGAGAGAAAATCAATTGGAGAGTAAATCAAGGCCCATCCCTTATAAGGAAATCATGCGCAAAGAAAGAGAGCTGAAAATCTGACCAATTTTCAGCGAGATATTTCTTCCACAAGTTCAAGAAGGGATAATACATTCTTCCACTAGCACAACATATGTTCCGCATTAGCAACGATGATTTTGCGGTTCAGGAAGAGAAATCCTGGCATAGTAAAGACATCAGCCACTTAAAATTCTACAATACACTCTGTTGTAAAGTTGTACAGTACTTACCAGGTGCAGCCATGAGCACAAGAACAGTCAGAGTGAACAGCAAACGATTCATTTTTACGGCTTCTTACTTGTACCGGAGTTAAACTTTCCGTGATATCTCGATGAGGTACTACCACGCCAAATTTATGCAAAGTATGGTACTTAACAAGGAAATTAGAAGGTGTTCCCAGAAGGCATAGCGCGTCTTGACCGGCCTATCACGAAACAAACTACTCATGTTTCAACTACAGGTAGTCACGAGCCTCCTAACCCCTCAATTCAATAGGGTACCTGTAGTTTTATATGACGATGTGATCTGAAAATCGATCTACTTTAGGAGAATTTTCTTCTAAACTCTGTCGAGCCGCGAACAATTTAACTATGAGAAACATTTTTCGCGCTTCACTATTTACATTTTTTACGCTGTGACTAAATGCCCGGCAACCGGGCACGGTCTCAAACAGACTGAATGCTTAGCAGTCAGAGATTTTCACAGAAATTCAACTGAAAGCTTCTTTCAAACTTCTTAAGAATATCAAATGTTTGTTTAAAATGTCAAGGGATTCTAAAAAGTAATTTGTTGTTTTAGTGGACAAAATATTGTCAATAGGTTTATTCGAGGTTTTCTGCATTGTTTCCCTCCATATTTACTTAACTTGAAGCTGTTCTGACGAAGCTGTCACTTAGTGTCACGCCACAGTCTCGAAGACAACATTCTACGAAACCGACGTGACCCCCTCAAGCTTAAAACCGGTATGTTCAAGCTTGACCACTAAAAAAACCAACGTAATTCTTAGAATCGCTAAGCATTTCTAAACAAACCTCGAATATACTCAATTGGTTTGTATGGAGTTTCAGTGGTACTTTGGTAAAAATTTCCTCGTGCCGGCCATTTAGTCCATTTGGGACCGTGTCGCTGAAGCATTTCTGAGTGGCAAAAGCCAAGCGATATTATTGGAAGCACGAGCTCGAAGAATTTGTCCACCCAAAATTAATGATTAATTTTTGGAACCACTTGACATTTCTAAACTAACATCTGATACTCTAGTAGAAGTTTGAAGGAACCTTTCAGTGGAATTTTGGTGAAAATTTCTAACTTCCAGGCATTTAGTCTATTCGAGACTGTGCCCGGCAGTCTGAAATTCTAGGTGACGACAACCGAGCGACATTGAAGTGTGCACAAGCACGGAAATTTTTCTACTAAAACACCAAATCTGAATTTTGGAATCGCTTGACATTTCTAAACTAACGTGCGATACTCTAGTAGAAGTTTTAGGAACTTTTCAGTGACATTTTGGTGAAAATTTCTAACTGCCGGGCATTTAGTTCATTTGAGACTGTGCCTGGCAGTCTAATCAGAGGCGTGCAATTTCTGAGTGTCGACAACCGAGCGATATAGTGTCCTCAAGCTCGGAGAGTTTTTCCAACGAAAAAAAATTAATTCTTTTGAATCGCTGGACATTTCTAAACAAAATCTGATAATCCTTAGAAGTTCGAAAGAACCTTTCAGGGGAAAATCTGTGAATATTTCTGGCTGCCGGCCGTTCAGTCTGTTTGCCCCTGCACGGCTTCCTTGAATTTAGTCACAGCGTATTTTTTTAAAGGTTTTTTCCCATTTTTTTACGCAACAGCTGTCTAAAAGCAACTAGCACTGAATCGAATCGCGTTCAGTGAAAGATTATTACACGGGAAGCCTATGACACGCACCATGGTAATAATCTGGCTGGGTTTGCTTTTCATGATGCAATATGCATCGATGGAATATCAAAAAGCGCTGTCATTTTTTCAGGTGTCAGATATCGATGTTAGGATTTCAAGGTGTATGGCGCACCGTTTGAACACTTAAGAGCCCATGACTGTAAATATCGAGAATCGCTGGCCAGGCTAAAAAATTCGAAAATTCTGATAATTTGCTTCGAAAACCCTTTAAGGGAGATATATTCAAAAAAATTATTTCGAAGTTTGAAAAATCAAACGCGTCCGAGGAAATGGGGAAAAACGAAAATTCGGGTTTTTACCTAATTAATTATTCAAAAAATACAGTAAAATTGACCAACTTTAGTGCGCTAGTACAGAGGAAGGATGTTTCGTAAGAAATCGGGGGTGTTTTTACTTCAAAACATAATTCATTTGATCCTTATCTGTGGTTTTTTTAGGGGCTTTGGTTTGATTTTAAAATTTAAATGATTTTTTAACAAAGTACTCTCAAACACTTGTTGCAAAAAGCAAAAAATCGAGCAACTTCAAGCTTTCAAAACGCGTCTTGGCATGTGAGAAATCATGTCAAACTGCATGCTGGCATAAAGTTTGGTCCTTATAAAAAAAATAATATGAAATAAAAAATTTGGGTAATTCAGAAAAGTGCCGGCAAAATAAAAGAGTTTGTGAAGCACTGTGGCTAAGGTCGGGAATTTGCATGATGCAAATCAGTTGTAGAAATCGTACTCGAGCGCTACGAAATAAACAAGATAGTTAAAGATGGTTAAAAACTCTTTGATATGGAAATGATATGAAATTATAGAATAAAAAATTCGTAGACGTTGCTGAAGAGGGCTGTAAATTGATGTGTAGATACGAAATTTTCTGTTAATTTGAATTGCAGAAGACTCTGTTATTGTTGACTCGCTATTTCAACAGCACTACCTACACCTAAATATAGATAAGGGCCGCCTTATAGTTTACCATTTTTGTTGACTAGCTGTTTATTATCGACATCATTCTTAGTTGAATAGCTACGTTTTCTGCAACTGCGATAATATTTCTTTTGAAATATCTTGGATATCTTGGAAAAGTTATGTGAGTAAACAAAGTCATGCAACACCGCAAGCTTCTGCTGTGTAGTTTTTCACCTCAAGATAACAGCTCAACTATTTTCATGCTATTTACTCTTATCTTTTTCGGAAAAATGGCCACATTTCTGTCATAAAACTTGATAAAAAGGACTTACGTCACGGTAGCAATTATACCGTGTTGCAGTCCAGGCGATAATTCTCTATGATGCAATCACGGTCTTTTTCTTAAAGGTAAACACGCGCGAGGTTTTTCATAGAGCATAAACAGAAAACGATGTCATTCTGTAGCTTTACTTCTCTTCTTGGAGGGGGGGAGGGGCTTGTGGTGCAAGTGCTGAAAATCCAAACGTGGCTGGCCTTTGTCGAATTGAAAGACTGTACTAGGGATCAAGTGTTTCCACGTCCAAAAGAGGGCTGCACGCATAGTTTCAGTTCCAACGGCACTCTTCTCCAGAAAAGCATCTCGCGTTAAGAACATGCACAAAGATAGTTGAAAAGGAGACACTTCTTGATAAAGCGAAGGTTAAATATGCTGCAAGGCTCGAGGAAGGTTCAAGTTTCGCGCCAACTACTCCTCTACCTCCTGAAACCTGTCCTCGTAGCACTGGATATCTAATACCGCCTGAAGGCTTCGCTTTAAAACAAGCGTAGAAAGTTTACCGGTTTAACGAAAAGCAACGAGAGTACCTGACCGCTAGATTTACCATCGGACAAGAAAGCGGCAAGAAGGTTGACGCGAAAATTGTTGCAACAGAAATGAGAGGAGCAAAGAGATTGAACGGGGAACGCTTGTTCAGTGTCTCTGACTTTTTGACAACTCAACGAGTAGCTTCATTTTTTTCCAGAATGACAGCAAAAGTGAAATAGCAGACAACCCCCTGCGCACAAGCTGTAACTGAGCAAGATCTGGTTTCGATGGAGGAATAATTTAATTTGTCAAATACTAAGGAGTCTATTTTTGAGCAGTTAAATGTAATTCATTCTATTCATTACCAACAGTACAACTGTTCCATGGTCGAGAATAACACACTCAACAATCTCAAACTTGCAATCTT